CGGCAAGGAGCGGTGTCATTCTCGATGCACCACCACAAACCGCATCGATCCGTATCTGCCGCATCAACTCGGATGGTTTCGTCGTCGAGCTTCTCCTGTGCGATGATGCGTTGGGCTCTTGGCAGGATCTACCCTGTTCCTCGATCCTTCCTGCATGTCGACACTGCTGCCGCTATCATCCGTCGCATCTACCCCGCATGTCGTGCGATTTTCCTCTGCGCCACCCATCACCGCACACTGAGTTATATTACGTGGCGGTGTAATCACTAGGTACAAACATTGACAGAGAAAGGTCAAGCCACGCTTGGCTGGAGGAGACGTCGATGAATTGATTTTTCGGGCACCAGCGACGGCGTTCTTCTCGATATGTTTCTTTGTAGTACATTCACGAGAAACGCCAGTGTGCCTGACGGGTGTGTCAGACATCGAATGGTTAGCCAATCCGGCCAAGAGCTCAGCAATAATGATGCCTTTGTCGTTGCCTGCCACCGAGATACGTATTTAGTAGTCCTCATGGGCTGCTTCTTGTGTTTCAACAGCCAACTGAAAATTCCAAGGAGCTGATTGGATTCCAAGGATAACAAATGACGAGAGAGATTCTTGTTTGGTGCAGGTGATGTACGAGATCATGAAGGAGATGGTAGAGAGGGCAATGGAGACAGGTTCCGTGGGCAATGATGTAGTCTTTGATGCAGAAGACCGAGAGCTCTTCCGGAAGTGGAAGGGGTTCGCCCGCCATGACCACCCTTCCGTGATCCAGGTCATCTTCCTAGATAGGACAATTGCAATCTAGATTCTTATAATTCAAGTTGATAATAATAATAATAATAATAATAATAATAATAATAATAATAATAATAATAATAATAATAATAATTCATTCATATAAATCAATTCAAGTCTTTGATTATAATTGACGTGAGACGGATTATAACTCTCTCAAACTTACTTAGTATAAAAGAATAACATGAGGAATAAAAAAAACTTACAACTCTTTCTTAATTTTATTTAGTATATACTTTTTACTTAGTTCTGAATTTAACAGTTTTACTAAACATTTATTATGCTGCTGAGACTTTCCAAGTGATCTGTATAAAATAGATTCGGAATCCCAAACAGGAATCTAAAATATTTGGTATTTTAAATAGGTTCTACTCCAAAGCAGCAAAGATTCGGATATCATGGGAAACGAGTTGCCCAATCTGATCTACGTCTCCAGAGAGAAACGCCCGTCTTCTCATCATCACTTCAAAGCCGGGGCTCTGAATGTCCTGGTACGTCTCTCTCTCTCTCTCTCTCTCTTTGACCTTTCTGAGCTTGGATTCCTCATGGCAGACGCGCGTGTCGAGCGCCATGAGCAACGCCCCGGTGATCCTGACCTTGGACTGCGACATGTACTGCAACAACCCTCGCGCTCCTCTCCACGCGCTCTGCTACTTTCTGGACCCTGCCGTCTCCGCCAACCTCGCCTTCGTCCAGTTCCCCCAGTGCTTCCATGGAATCAACGAGAACGACATCTACGCAAGCGAGTTGAAGCGTGAGTTCAGGATTACTCCCAGGGGAATGGATGGACTCCGGGGACCCACCTACGCCGGCACCGGCTGCTTCTTCTCGCGACGCTCTTTGCATGGCACCGGCTCGCCGGCTCACCGTGGCTCGTCGGCTTCGGAGTCCGCACTGCAGAAAGCCGTGGAAGCGGCTGCCTGCTCCTTCGAACTCGGCACCAAATGGGGATCCTCGGTAACCTTCGGAGCATGTTCTTGCGATGTTGTTTCGATGATTCAAACGTGAGGTTGGTGTCTTCGATCATGCAGATTGGGTTCCGATACGGGTCGCTCGTGGAGGACTTCCACACGGGTTATCGGCTCCACTGCGAGGGATGGAAGTCCGCGTTCTGCGACCCGGCGAGGCCGGCGTTCCTCGGCGACGGGCCGAAGAATCTAAATGATGTCCTTAGCCAGTGCAAGAGATGGTGCGTGGGCCTCTACGAAGTGGCCTTCTCGAGGTTTAACCCCCTCACCTTCGGCATCACCAAGGCTTCGTTCTCGATGGGCTTAATCTATGCGCACTATGCATGTTGGGGCACCTGGTGCGTACCCATCACAGTATACGGCCTTCTTCCACCGTTAGCTCTCTTGTATCAGACGCCCCTCTTCCCCAAGGTTCTTCTCTCTCTCTCTCTCTCTCTCTCTCTCTCTCTCTCTCTCTCTGTTTGAGTCATGGGGATGTCTTCAACTGCTGGTCTTGTTCCAGGTCTCCGATCCATGGTTCTTCGTGTACGCCTACCTCTTCACCGCAGCCTATGGCCAAGACCTCGTCTTGTTCCTCGCAGATGGTTCGACCATCCGGAGGTGGTGGAGTGACCAGAGGATGTGGATGACCAGAGGCGTCACATCTTTTCTTTTCGCAACCATCCAGTTCGGGCTCAACCACATCGGCATATCTGCACCGGGGTTCAACGTGACAAGCAAAGTGACGGAGGAGGAGCAGATCGAGCGGTACAAGAGAGGGGTCCTCGACCTGGGAACGCAGTCGCCGTTCTTCGTGGTACTCGGAACCGTGGCCGTCGTCAACCTGATCTCCTTGGCGGTAGGGATCACGAGGGCTGCGACGTCGGAGGGGTTCCTCGACGAGCAGTTCGCGCAGCTGTTCCTGTCGGGCTTCGTCGCCGCCAACTGCTGGCCTATCTACGAGGCCATGTTTCTGAGAAGCGATGGAGGAAGGATGCCGAGGAGCGTCACCGTCATCTCCTTGACGGTAGCAGGTCTTCTTCTCTACATGGGGTATCTCGTCTACCACGTATGAGAGACTTGTCATCATAATGGAGTAAGGTTAATGTCTACTTAATATATGTTCGATCTGAGTCAGTCAATGCCGGGCAGCTGTTGCATGGCACTATCGTTATTAAAGTCTTTGATGTACTTTAATTGAATGCACTCATTGGGTATTGTGGTGCATAGATCAGAAATAATTAGATTAAAGAAAAAAAATCTTCTAAGCATAGAAACTATAATCATAATAATATTGAAATAATATTGTTAAGGCCTCGATTGATTCGATTGGACTTATCACTTTTCACTGACAAAATTAATATTTTTTAATAAAGAAAATAAAATATGCACACAATAGAAATTAAATAATTTTTAAAGTAAATAGTTTTTATTATTTCATTTAAACTAAATATTTTGTTATCATTTCTAATACCTTAATTTTTCGTTTGGACTGAGGACTTTTCACCATTATAACTCTCTTTTTGGGCTCTCATGTCTTGATCCCGTGGGAGACGATATCTTCGATTAGATTCTCAGATCAGTAAATTACGATAAAACCCCACCACCTCTCGGTGGGTGTCTCCACAAACTTCAACCCACCTCATCATCATCTTCCATTTGCTGCTGCTGCTGCTTTTGCTTCTGTGGAGCGAGGAAGATGGCGACGCACACCGCATTCCACAGTGCACAAGTGAGCCGCCTCGTCCCCTTCAACCGTGCCCACGCGCTCCTCTACTCCGTCGCCGTCCTTGCGGCCCTCCACCGCCGCCTCGCCGCCCTCCTTGCCCCCGCGACCCTCCTCTCCATCTCCGTCTCCCTCCCCCTCCTTCTCGCCGACCTCGTCCTCGCCTTCATGTGGCTCACCTACCAGGCCCTCCGGTGGTGCCCGGTGCGCCGCCGGGATTTCCCCGACCGACTCGCGCTGTCGGTCGACCCCAAGGACTTCCCCGCGATCGACGTGTTCATCTGCACCGCCGATCCCCACAGGGAGCCGCCGATGAGCGTCGCCAGCACCGCGCTGTCGGTGATGGCCTTCGACTACCCAACCGACCGGATCTCGATCTATGTGTCGGACGATGGCGGCTCGGAGATCACGCTCTTCGCCTTCATGGAAGCCTCGAGGTTCGCCAGGTACTGGTTGCCCTTCTGCAAGGAGAATGGGATCGTCGTGAGGTCGCCGGAGGCTTACTTCAGATCCAGCAATGGCGGAGACTCGGAGAAGATGAAGGTATATTCTATCACTATCTTGCACCCAATTGCACGCAGCTCAGCATCTACATTTTAAAATTAATAATAATAAAGACTCCTGATTGGTCAATTTTTTCCCTTTTTTTGAATTAATATTATCCTGTCAGGTCCACTAATAATACACAACACAACAACAACACAGTGTTGCTTTGGATTGCAGGAGAAAGGACAGACATGGTGTGTGAATGGAGTCCAAAAGGAACAAGGTTTCTAAATAGTTTGGATCTATGAGGACTTTAGTTTTTGGTTTGATCCTTTCTCATTCATAAATCTGATGGATAGAAAGAGAGGCTGATGGTATTGACGTCAGGATTAGATCTATTTATTCTAATTTGTCCTGTGCAAATAAATGATACTTATCCAAGTGAGGTGGAGAAAGGGACAGTAATAATAAAAAGAAATTCCTAGACCAACATGAGGATATATTACAAGAATATATTACAGAAAGTAATAAAAACCAAATCCTAGATAGAGGCAACATGAGAATATTTTACAAGCCCAGTGCTTTTGCTTTTGACTTGAATAGTTTAATAAAAAGTAAATTCTTGACGAAGGTATTTTAGTAAGATTTGGTTTCATTTTATTCCTTTTCTTTCTTTTGAGACTGGAGAGCTCTTAGTTCTTAAAGAAAGAAACTGACTATAATTCAGCTGCTAAATATTAAGTTGAATATCTGACACAATCATTTGTTGCAAAAGGTAGATTTTGTTCTTGCACAACTAGTTGTTTGGTTTTAAGCCATTGCAACAATAGCATTTCATAAAGAAAGGAGCTACCTGATGTAACTTTTGAGAGAAAAAGAAAGCTTGTTATGAATTCAGTAGGAGGAGTTGACTTACCTGATAGGCATTCTTGAAATGTTCAAACATCTCACTTGTGAAGTTTTGTTCCTCAAAGCTGCAGATGATGTACCAAACTATGAAGGAGAAAGTGGAGACTGCTCTGGAGAGAGGTTATGTGGGCAATGATCTGGTCTCCTCCCAAGAAGAAGCTGAAGTATTCAAGAGATGGAAAGGGCTTCCCAGCCATGACCACCCATCCATGATCCAGGTCTTCTTCCAAATGCTGACGAAAAAAAATGTATATAGATATCAGCTGCTGTTTGGTTAGAATAGCTAGGAAAATCTGGTTCCATGACAGACACCAATGTTGAGGATTTTTAGAACAATTGGCTTAAACTAATCCATCATAAGTTTTAAGCAATCAAGAACCTCATCGATCTCAGTTCACAATTACAATAAACATTCTGCCAAAACTGTTGATGAAATCTGCATATCTATTGTAAAAGCCTCATCAAAGTCTACAAAGTAGTATATGTGCTAGCAAATCCTGATCATTAAGCTTTCGATAATAAAAACTGTTCAAGAACTCCAATCTCTTGTCGCATGCTCAACTAAGAAGGTTTCTTCGGTTTTGAACAGGTTTTACTCGACACCAGCAAGGATACAGATATTATGGGCAATGCATTGCCAAACGTTATCTATGTCTCCAGGGAGAAACGTCCAACATCCCCTCATCACTTCAAGGCTGGAGCCCTCAATGTTTTGGTATGTTCATCGCCACGCATCCAAAAATATTCTAAAGTTTAGTGCATCCTCTCCTCGATCAAAACTTCATGCTAACCTTTTCCATTTTGATTCTACATTGAAGACACGTGTATCGAGCACCATGAGCAATGGCCCGATGATCCTCACATTGGACTGTGACACATACTCTAATGATCCTCGGTCTCCTCTCCGTGCACTCTGCTACTTTCTTGACCCTGCCTTGTCACCTGATCTTGCCTTTGTACAGTTCCCCCAGATCTTCCAAGGCCTTAACAAGAATGATATCTATGCGTGTGAGGTAAAGCGCCTTTATACCATTAATCCAAGGGGAAAAGATGGTCTTGGAGGGCCTAATTATGTTGGCACCGCATGCTACTTCTCACGACGGTCTTTGCAAGGCACACCATCATCAACATCTCTGGCTCCAGGGGCCAATGATCCATTGTCTTCAGAGTCTGTACTGAGAAAAGCTCATGAAGTGGCTAGTTGCACTTATGAACCTGGCACAAAGTGGGGCTCATCGGTAATTATAGAGAAAATGTTTGCATTCTTACAATGATTGAAATGCACTTTCCTTGCTAATGAGGTCTAATACACAGATCATCCTGAATGTTTAGATTCTCCAAACCTGCAGATTGGCTTCCGTTATGGATCACTTTCAGAGGACTACCACACAGGTTATCATCTTCAGTGTGAAGGATGGAAATCTGTCTTCTGCTACCCTGCGAGGCCAGCATTCCTTGGCGATGTGCCAAAGAATCTAAATGATGTCCTTAGCCAACGCAAGAGATGGTGCGTTGGGCTGTTCGAGGTGGCCTTCTCAAAGTGTTGCCCCCTGACCTTTGGCACCGTAAAGGCTTCACTGCTAGTGGGTTTATGCTATGCACATGAAGCCTTTTGGGGTAGTTGGTGCATTCCGATAACAATATATGGTTTTCTTCCACAACTAGCTCTCATCTACGGCATCCCCTTGTTCCCAAAGGTATATGTATATGGCTTCTACCATCCTCTCTATTTTGTTTGCATTCCCAGAGGCTTCTGCTGAGATGCCTGTCTGTTTCAGGTCTCAGACCCATGGTTCTACTTGTATGCCTACCTCTTTTTCACTACCTATGGCCAAGACCTTCTTGAGTTTCTTGCAGCTGATGGAACAATGGGGAGGTGGTGGAGTGACCAGAGGATGTGGATGATCATAGGCCTCACATCTTATCTATTTGGAACAGTCCAATTTGTACTCAAGAAATTTGGCATATCTGCTCAAGGGTTCAATGTGACCAGCAAAGTCATGGAGGACGAACAGAGCAAGCGGTACGAGAAAGGGACCTTCGATTTCGGAGTAGAGTCGCCTTTCTTCGTAGTGCTTGGAGCAGTGGCCACTGTAAACTTGAGCTCTTTGGTGTTAGGGATTGCAAGAGCTGCAACGATGGAGGGGGGGTTTGATGAACTCTTTGTGCAACTGTTCTTATCAGCATTTGTCACCGCCAACTGCTGGCCTATCTACGAGGCCATGTTTCTGAGAAGCGACGAGGGGAAGCTGCCCAGGAATGTTACAGTAATCTCACTGGCATTAGCAGGTTTCCTTCACTGCATCGGATATCTCATCTTCCACAATTGAGGAAAATGCTGCTTGGTTGCATGATCAAGTTGCAATATTTGACATTGGAGAACAAAGGATCGATGAGCGCATACTAAGATTTTTGCTTGTGTAACTAAGATCGTCCTAGAAATGGCAGGATTGCAAGATCTTTCTGAGAGGAAAGCAACATAAAAGATTCATTTGTTGTGCGAGGGTCAGCAAGAATGCAAGTTCTATGCGAATCTATGACAGGAAAAAGCAATCGGACGAAATCCACATGGAAGTCTTAACTGAATGTTCGTCTGCTCATCATCAGAATAAGAGCATAGAGAGACCACCGACCCATTTGCTTCCCTCGCTTAGGGTTGACGTCGGAACTTGTCTACGGGACACGATCGGCGACGACGGAGACGGAACCCGGGGCTACTGGGCTGTCAACAAAACCCTCCAGCCCCGGGGGACGGTCGTCTGCCTCCTCTCCCTCTTTGGCCGCTGCGCCTCATCCCACGGCAGGGATGGATTAGGGATTCTAACCGTCGTCCCGGAATACCAATTTTATTATTATTGAGATATTTTTTATTAAAAATATGTCTATAAAATAATAAGCAGATTGGGCGATTTCTCTAAAAAAAAAAATTATTTTAAGTATTTTTCAAACATTTATCCTCGTTTTAATTTTTCCTGAACCATACTTTCAAGAAAACTATTCAAATTGTCTTTTCTCCTTCACCCCTCTTCCATTGCCATTGTCAGTTGTTGTCAGACTCGTCGTCACCTCCTCTTCCTTGCATCATCGCAATACATCATTTTCGT